GCAATTCTGGATCTGAGCAAGAGCTTACAGGAATCGCAGGGACAAAAGAGGAGAGCCCTATTCTAGATTATGCTCTCTTTGGAAAGCCCCAACCAAGACCTTCACTGAAGTTTTGATTCTTTATCACAAAGTGATTAACCCTGATGTTCGCTGGGAAGGAGCTTGCATCGGTGTGAATGCTGGCTTGTGCCCAGCATCACAGACACATTGCTACTTCGGATTAAGCGAAAATGAGCAGACTTTCTCAGTTCTGTTGCCCTCTGCATTGACATTAATATGGGGTAGGAAGATTTCTTCCTGAAGTTCAGGGGACGTATGACCCTTATGTTGGTAGAATGTGTATAATGACTGAACCATTCAGCTCCCAGACAGACTTCACTTGTTTGTGGCTTTGCAGCTCTCACAATCTATCTGCTAACAACAAAAATATTCCAATTATTTGGAATGATGACATCATCCATGCAATTGACCCAAAGCCAACATCAGCACTTCTACAAAACAGACAGTTATTTCTTGTTAAGAATTATCATAGTCTTCGTACTGACCACACTTTGCATCAATTGAGCTTCAGCATGGCGAGGCCACTGGGAAGCAGTAACATTTGCAGTAACAAAGCCACTGAGCAGACACATCCCTCAGCTCACTTGGCGACTGGGTCTGAAATGACGTATCTGCTGGTTGCTCACATGCCACAGCGTCTCTCCACTTTAGTTTGAACAAACCTGGCTTACACAAATGCAGTGGGGAGCAGTCAAGCTTGGAGGACCAGGAAGGATAAGCTGTTCTGAGGTGCAGAGTTGAGCTATTATGCTGCGAAGTGAAGTGGTTCAGGAAAGGCCGGGGGGCAGCAAAAGCTGCTGGGAAGTGACACAAGGCTGAACTTCAGCTGTTGCAAATGGAAAGATCAGCAGAGGATGCTCACACTGAAAAAGCCTGGGAAAAGCAGATAGGTATCTAAAACATTTTGAAAAGCCTCCAGTCATGGTGCTTTTTTCAGTGTAATAAATCCTTGTTGGATTAATTACCTAATAGTGAAATTATCCTACTCTGCTAGAGGCAGATTTCTTGCTGAAGTGAGAACGAGTATAATATGTTAAGGTAAAATATGGTAGTTTGAAGAGGGCAGAAGGGGCAGGGCTGCACTCAGCGAATGGACACTTAATTCCCTGTCATTTCCCTATTCAGGCCTGGTAAAACATATCATATCTGCCATTTGAATTTTAGGCCAAGATAAAAGGAATCTTGTAAAGCCCTATAGCACAAGAACGCTACATATTTAAAGCAGTAAATTCTCACAGGGACTGTGATCCTTTTGCAGCATAGATTTATTGCAGACAGACTGCTGGGAGGGAGAGCAGGGTCATTTCACAGGACCATAACGGCAGCAGGTACCTGGGGTCCTGCTGCTACAGGCAAACAGTGCTGCCGCAGTGCTGGGGTGGTTTATGTCCATGTAATGCCTGTAGCTCTAGAAACCACCAGAAAATGTACTGGGAGCTTCTCCGTGTCCTGCTTGAAGTAAATTTGTCAAGTTCCATCCAGGTCCTATTTAGGCACCACTACAGTTGTATGTCAGGTTCCTGGAAGTAAGAAAGGTGAAGGACCTTTCCATGAACTAGCGCAGAGTTGGTCCCTGCAGAATCTTCCATAGAGAGAAAAAAAATCCTGAGCTGTTTTAATTTCCCATAAAAGGCAGGAAGCAAATTGGCAGTGTAAGTGCCTATGAAGGCAAAAAAAGAACTGAAACAGGCCTTTCTTCTGTCCTTTCCACTTGATAATGAAGGCCTGAAAAGCTCTAAATTGGCGGGTTTTGTTCTAAGGCTTTAATTCTTTCCCCATTAGGACAGCTGGAAGACTTTCTGGACAGTCAGAAAAGAGGTCAGTATGTATCAGAGACAGTAGAGAAACCTGCAGATTTGTTTGTGCAGGGATGTTTAAATCTCGGTGGTAGATTACTCATTACGTTGCGCATGGTAGTCTGGACGCTGCAGACATTTCTTCCAGGACAGGACTGCGAGCAAATGTCCAGCTCAGCCTGTACAAATGCACGAATGAGCCTGAATTATTTGCAATCAGTTGACACCAGTCGAGTACTTCTGTGTTTCCACGTTTACGATTTGTGTAGACAAATCCTGAGGGCAGTGATTTTGAGTCCGATTATTAAAAGCTTTTTTGCTTTAAAGGGCAGTGATTTTAAGTCCGATTATTAAAAGCTTTTTTGCTTTATTTTCTTAACAGCTGTTTCATCCCAACAGTTGGGAAAAAAACACCTTTTCATAAGGATTCTGTAAGGATCTTTCAGCTGGAGGATGAAGCAATTTCCCATCTACATTTCCTGGTGTCTTTCCATGCGATCAATGAATAATTCTTCCTGATATTTTAAAAGTTAGAAAAATAATAAGCAGTAAATGACAGTTAAGGAGAAGTAAGCCAACCCAGACTTAGCCCTGTCAGCAAAGTCTGCTTGTTTCCCCCGCATTTCCAGATCACCTTAGCAGTTGTATTTTCCAGGTTTGAGCAGGTTACCCCAAGTAACCTGTATTTGTTTGACAAAGCGTGATTATTACTCGTAACTTTTGAACCTCAGTAGTCACAGAGAGATTACAAGTGGCTCGGGGAAGGCATTTTGGCACGTCTCATCTAGTCCCCGTGCTTGTAGAGCCTTCTCCACCACACTAAATCCATCGTCTGTTGGGTCAGAAAAGTACGTAAGCTGGCTGAGCCCCAAAATCATCTGCTCATGAGACAAGCTGGCCCAGGGCTGGAGGGATGGAAATTGTAACACCTGCTCGGAGGTGGCGTGTTGGCCGGCTGCTCAGAGGAGCTGGGCTCAGCCGCAGTGCTGCCTGGCCACTCTCCCACTGCCCTTCCAGCCCTGCCGAAATCACTCAGCCCCACAAAGATGTGTGGGCAAGCGAGAGCAGTGAGGAAGTGATGGCTGTTGCTTAAAAAAATAACGTCGATGCTTGGGGAGCCTTCCTTCCTCTCCAGGGTGTGACATTTGTCAACTGATGTTGCATCTAACCTAGTGGTAGCAAGAGCTGGAGAGGAAATACTCTCCCCTCTTGCCTTCCCTGCCTCCGGCACCCGGAGTGCGCAAGAGCAGGCAAAGGGATAGCCGGCAACCGCGCTCAGCTTTAATTTAACTTAGAAGTAGGTTTGTCCAGCTCCTTTAGGGCAAAGAGCATCCAGCAGCCCTTCACGCTTCTGAGCAAAGCCCCAGGCTGTCCCTCGCAAGAGATCTTCACGCTAGCCCTGGGGGCGAGTGGTGTCTGGATAATTCCTGCAACCAGCTACAAGGAAATATTTCTCCTCTCCCCCCACCCCAGAAAAGCTTTGCATGTGGAACTTGTTAAAGATTTGTCCTGAGCTTGTTTTTTAAACATAAGCCACGAGTCAGGGTGGGCCAAGGAAAACATACCAGTGCAGAATACACCTCATCAGCTCCGCCAACCGCTCTGCAGGCACCGGCTTCGCCGCGGCTGGAGCCAACCGCGAGCGGTGAGTCCGTGGGGCGGCGCGGCTGGGAGGGGGACTCGGCACCGGGAGCCGTGGCCGTAGCCGGGGCACAGCGAGGGCAGTGCCTCGTGCTGGCCACAGAATGAGGGGGAAAAGGCTGACCTTGCTGGAAATCACAAGACGCCGGCGCTGCACATCTGGGGGTGACTCGGCCTGTGAGCCTGGCTGGCCGGCAGGGGACACGCCGCGGGGGTGGACACGTCGGTGTGGGCGCGGGAACGGCACCCGCACGCCCTGGCCAGCCTCGCCGAGCAAGGGAGGGCAGTCCGAGGCCCGGACTGACCACTCCACCCTCCCAGCAACGCCTCGCCGTTCCCAAAATGAGGCCAAGTTCACCACAGACGGGATGTGTGTGTGCGTGTATGATCAATATATTGACAATGTAATAACTGAAATTTTATTGTAACTGCATGTACAGTCAGTATAATGTATCTTATTGCAATGAGACCATACGTAGGGCTGTACAGATGCATATTGTCTGCCCGCCCTTGCGAGTGCTTCGGCCACAGGCCTCGCCCGGGCTGGGGCGAGGGGCGCGGGCCGTTTAAGTGGGGCCCGCCCTCCGGCCGACACGTCCCAGCCCTGACCGCTCAACCAACCCCGCTCCACCGCCCTTCCCCGCCGCCCATTGGCCAGGTGGCGCTGAGGGTCCCGCCTTCCGGCGCTGCTAGCCAATGGGAGGAGAGCTGGGCGAGAGTCCGGTCTAGGTTGGTGCGTGTGGCCGATGGCCGGCGAG